ATCGCGTGTGTAATCTCCGGAATTCAGTATTTTGTGTGTTTATTATATTTCCGCGTGTATTCGTGGTCGGTTGCCGTCGGACGCCGGCCGGCCATGTGCGATTGTAAATAATATTGTAGTTAATTTCGGACTTGTGTGAATCATTATTGTCTTCAGCAGAACTTGTCGAGGCAATGTGCTACCTGGTAAGAATACTCATTTAAAAAAACTTTGGGTTCCGCAGGAATTTAATTCAACATTGTCTGAGATTGTCTGAGATCTAATGTTTTGTTTCTTCTTTAGATTTGTATTGTTTTGAACACAATTCACACTTTCTTATCGCATTGTCTTACGTATTGCATGTTGCTGCATCATATTTTAGTTTTGATTGCAGGTAATATCTAACTTTCACGTAAACAGTATAAATGTTTATTTTTCTCCGCTGTTTGAATATAATATTACATGAATATAATGTTTTCTTTTCTTATTTATAGTATTTGCCGTGTCTTGGAGTCCGATATGATCTGCATTGGTAAGTTTATAATTCAATTATATTTTTCATTTTACATAAATTTGTATTTACGTAGTTTTTTTTCGAGTTCCACCTCGTGTTGCAAAGATACAAGACAGTCGCGTTTCAATCCGATCTTCTCTATCTCGTTTAGCTTTTGAAATATTCACAGTCGGAAAAAATTTAAAAAAAAAATGAGAAAGTTCATTTTTTTGCACTTTTAGACACGATTTCAGAACCTTTACACCCCGTATTTTAATTATTTTCTTATCTTATCTTATAGAGAATTTTCCAAACTGTCATAATCTTTGATCGGCTGGTCGCTAGCGCTTTTAGTTTAAATGATGTTTCCTAAATCCTCAATAAGCAGGGTACCGCACCCCCGCCTTGCTCATTTTTTTGCATTGGAAGTTACCTCTACCGCTACCCTCGTACGGTGCCCTGAACACGAGTCACTTTTACCGCTAGCCTCGTACGGTGCCCTGAATGGGAGTCACTTCTACCGCTCCCCTTTTTAAATTATTTTTTCGTTTATTAGATTTTCAATTTAACTTGTTTAATTTTTGAAACACGCGGTGGAAATTTGTCTGTATCGCGGGATAGTTTTTACCTTCTTTGTCAAATTGCGTCGAAATTGTATTTTTTTTAGTACAAC